CTGCTACAATGGTTTATTCTAACAAGGAAGATGAAAATATATCCGTAAATCTTACCATTTAGTTGCTCCTATAAAGAGTTTCTTTTAAATCGGAAAGTGAAATAAATTATACTTGCACAAATCCAGACATAAGTCCCAACTTCACTCCATGCTTTTCAAGAATAAATTTAAGTGTACAACATTGGTTGACAACAATGATTGACAACCATGTGTTGTCAGAATTCTAGTATGAGGTGTAGAAAGCAGTTTTTTAAAATGAATGAATATGATGATGCCAACAGGATGTTGTCAACTAATGTTGTACATGTAGCATGGTTCTAATTAGTCTTGCAATAAGGAAATCACAAAGTATAACTGTCACATTTTTATTTTATAAGAAAATAAGGTTACACAAGTCAACGTTTCCAATCTGGAACAACTAATTAATTAAATAGTTATAACAGGAAATGGAAGTTACTGCAACAGAGTAAGTACACCAGACACCTTACTATTTTTAAAGAAGATATTCCTGACCAATGACTTGGGGTTATAATATTAACTAGAAATCAAAAAATCNNNNAATATTAACTAGAAATCAAAAAATCTAGTCACATTTTGGTTGATGTTTTCAACTTAATCATCTAATACAAGGCCTTCTACAGATTACAGATGCTGACGTATCAAACCATGTAGACCTCATACACAACTTGAAACTAAGATACCAAATCAAGGAAATTCACGTCCCTCATTAGAATCGAGATGAGATAGAGAAATAAATCAATTCTTGTTGAGGAGCTCCTGCTTCAAGAATCAACCAAAGTGACTAAAACGAACCAAGGATCAATATCTTTTGAATGAGTTCTCCTTTCGTAGATTTAGCTCACGCTAGAAATCGAACTTGACTAGTTAACTGAGATCAATAATCAGCCACTAAGATCTTAAATGCTTAGCACAGATCCCATCTTTCTTTTAAACAAAAGAGAACACAAATAAAGCAAATGGGAAGGAGGAAAGTTGAACTTGCATATCAACTTCATTAAATGTTGTCAACAATGCAAATGTGTTTTGAGAATCTTTCAACCGCGTGGCAACTCAATTTCTGAGCCTTGTCATAGGCACCTGTCATCATTGTAAACTGCAGAGCTACTGATCCTAGTTGATTAAAATGCCTATTGCTTAAGCATACTCTAGGGAAGGATAAAAAGTTATTAGCATCAACATGCAATATGACGAGAATGTAAGACTCACTCGTCTTTCCCTTTCTTCAGGAGGCAGCAGGGGTTCTGTATCGGAGGATTTAGAGGGTAAGGAAGATTCCCTAAGCTTTTCTACGACAGGCATTGTTTCAACTTTAGGCTTTGGCTTCTCCTCCTTCTCTTCAGCAGGAGACAATGGCGACGGATCAGCTTTTTCAGATGGCTTCTCATCAGATGGCGCAACATGAGTTACACCTTCACCAGATTTCGATATGACAGCAATCTTTGTGCCAGGTGCCACAATATCTCCCTCCTTAGCTATGAGCTATCAATAGTTACATATAGGATAAACAATATCAGCTAAAAAGTGACCAGGAAAGGTCAAAGAGCTCAAAAGAAGTAAGCAGTATAGTTCCATGTCAATAATGTTAAGAATTGGGGTTCCATTTTAAAATGTCAACCTTATTAAGAGGAGTAACCAAATCCTTTATAAGTTGGTTTATGTTTATATCTTTATTCGATGTGAGATTCTATCCCTTAATATGCTCCCGCAAGATGGTGGCTCGTTTGAGCAGACCAATCTTGAAATCCGTATGCTCACTTTCGAATTGCTCGTTAGAGCTTCATGGGCTCTGATACCATGTTAAGAATTGAAGTTCCATCTTAAAAAGTCAACCTTATTAAAATGAGTAATACAATCCTTTATAAATTGGTTTATGTTTACATTTTTATTCGATGTGGAATTCTATCCCTTAACAAATGATGTTCACCTTCTGAATTACACCCGCTTCAAGACTATTAACGTCAACGGTTACCTAATTGAAGACAAACAACCAAATAGTCAATGGTTATGGCATTGGTAACTTGAAAAAGTCACGATGTTAAAAATCCATGTTATTACACATATCATTGACGTATAAATGACACCTAAAATTGCCACATGAACTAAATTACTACCACTCTCGAGCATCAGTTACTGGGGAGCAATAAGAGATGATTATGTTGCACAATTCTAAACAAACGTGTGGTAAAGAATCTAAAAGGCGGATAAAAATATGTGAGCATAATTACCTGCTACTAAGAGTTAGTACCTTATCAGTTTCAACCTGAGCAATTGGCTCATCGACTTCTACTCTGTCCCCAGGTTCTGCTCCCAAAAATAAGAACAAAACAAATGGCTTAGACATTAGACAATGATTATTTAGTAAAGTCAAATAGGTCAAGAAACGTACAGACTTCTCAAGAAAGTTGCCAGTGTGCAATCTGTTATAGATTCACCCATATGAGGTATAACAGCTTCAACAAGATCGCCTTTTGACATGTATCGAAAGAAGGGGAAACAGTTAGCAGCATGAGAGGTAACTACACTGTAAAGAAATAACTTATGCGCTAATATATTCGAAGAATTCTGTTGATAATGATGATCATCCTCATTCACAAGTTAGGGGGAGTTACAATTCACAAATCAATGTCCACTGCACATTTCCTTCATTATGACATGAGATGGATCAAATGCTGCCTCATATCTAAATTTCCCAGGACATGGAAAAGACAATCAAATGCCGTCTCAAATCTAAATTAACATGCAAGGAAAAATGCATAAATTCAAGTCAACGTCCTACTGCTAGCTGTTAGAACAGAATGACCTGCTCCAGATCTGCGTGTTGACATCTTGCTGAAGATAGCCAACAACTTCCCTGCAAACAGTGCAAAGAACCAGATCAACTTTTTCTTCAGATCAAAAAGAATGAAATCATTAACATTGATTTTGTTATGGCATAAGAGGGATAGACAAGGATTGGAATTCAGACACTGCAATAGAACCATCAGTTAATCATTGGGGGATCACCGTCTTCGTGTAGGTCTAGTTTAATTGTGGGTTAATTAGCTTTCATAATTCATGCGTCAGCTTAAGTAACGTAAACAGAGATTAGTCAGTGTTAAATGTCCTGGTATACCTGCAAGTGCAACCTGTAACAATTCCCAACAACAGCTAGAAAAGCATAAATTTAGAGTCGCTATTCACAATTCAACCTGAGTTTAAATCTGTCGCCTCTAGCTTACATTGTCATAATATGACAGCTCCTGAACCCACCTTCAGTTTATTTTTTACAATGGGCCTTATATATCCTATATACAATGTTCATCTTGTGGGATTCTGTTCTTAATGAATCCATGTTGGAAGGACATAATACCAAAGCCGTATAATTTGTAAATCTCATCCATAATGTCGAAGACTATGTAAGCAATGTGATCACTGAAAACAAAATTTAAGTTATGTATTAATACTGAATCACTAACCTTATAGGCCTCAAACTCATTGAGCCTCCAGTTACAAAATTACAAGTCAAATATGCAATATTAAGTGTAACGTCAAGCCATGTAAAAATTAGTTGATCCATGTGAACGCAAGTAGAAATCAATACCAGCAGAAGGAAGGTGAGAAAAAGTAACATGACTAGATCCCGTTGGACAATGCATGATCTGATCATTTACTAAAATAAGTTAGAATGCCATGAAAGGTCAAAACAATTAGATTAACTTGATAAAATATTTGGATGAATGGATTCAATGCCCTTCTAATGATAAATATTCATGATGTAACCAATACTTAATAGAGCAACTACAATGTAACGTTATTATCTGCGATACACAGACACGGATATCTCGACACGCGATTTTTAAAAATTCATTGACGAAATTCATTAAAATTTCTGACACATTGATGCAATTCATTAAAATTCTTCATTTATGTAACATAAATTTAGTTTTACACTTGTTATTAATTTTTCTCGTTAAATTTTTTTAACCAAGAGTACATATTTGTTATTTAATAATAACTTTGAGTTAAAAAATATTTAATATTTTCGATAAAGAAAGAAAAATGACCATGACAGAGTGTTCGAGAAATGTCATATCAGTATCCAACATGTCCGACATTGTATGTCAATTACTAGAATTCATTGGCCGTCTAATCACCATACTTATCGACAGATATTTAGCAATTATGGCATTTACATGGATAACTCAACTCAAAAAATCGATATGACGATGACAAACCAACAATCATTTCATATATATCGTGCTTAAATCACAATTCATATGTTTCATAGCTTTTTCTAATAAGTTTTTCTATAAACGTTATACATAAACAACTGTAGATGTGAAAGATTTTCATGCATTAAAGAGATAATATTCATTTTATAATTCTCTAGACAGTTTGTTTAACTTCAGAGAAAAGCATTATATGTTTAAATGATCATTAACTAATTAGGAACAGCAGCAATACAACAAAACAAAATTCATTAAACTCCCTCATTATATCATACAAAACTGAAATAAATATAATATAGGTTGGAACTTTGGTTGAATGTTACACTCATAATCAGTAACAAATTCCATGGAAAAAACAAGCATATGAACTCAGTAAGAAAGTCCATGGATGGATCCAACACCAATCCAATATTCTCAACTCTATGAATCCAAACAAAGTACAAGTATTTACGAAAATTGCGAAGATTATTAGTTGATATGTATGTTGACGATGGATCAAGTTCCGAACAAGAATTACTTTGTTGTTATCCAAAGCTTTTCAATGTTAGAACTTGTAACACTTGACGAGCTAGTTGAAACATATACTACTTGATATGCTCTCTGAAAAGCTTTATTCTTAGCTAAACCACACCATTTAATATGATTTAAAAAATACATTCCAATCAAACCTCCCATTCAACTTCCACCGCAGAAAAAAGAGAATGGAACTCTAGAGCACATTTAGTTTTGATCATAGTGGAACTAATAGATTTTACACATCAAAACCAAAGAAGCAATTTTACCTCTTCAGAGAACACTTTTGTAGACATTGCTAGCCTTATCTTATGCACTGATTTTCCCAAAATCTGTTCCAAAGGCATATAGTTACATACATACATATGACTCTTCATATATTCATGTCTAAATGATCAAGATATGCAGTTATATGGCGAATTTGAAGGAAAATACCAGAGCATACGAGGCGCCAGTAGCGGCTTTGCGCCTTACAACACTCGACATCATGGCTTTGATCTTCTATGTCTGCACAAGAAACAAAAACAACATTCTATAACAAAACTCAATCAAATAAGCAAAAAGCAAATGGAAACAGAAGTATTGTAGAGGTGATTAAACTCCCAAATTATTATTTATTCACTTATGCACATAGTAGAAAAAGAAAATGGCATTGAAACAGATCTCTTAAATTACATAAAATAGAAAAAAAGAGCAAAACTTTGAAAAGAAAAGAAAATTGACCTTGGATCAAGAGAAGTGCCGTTGTTTTAAAACTCTTTTTGGTACACGATCATTTTCAAGCATACTTTTACACAATAAAATATTCTTCACATAAAAAAAAATTTTCCATGTTTTTTTTAACAATGCATTCTCCTAAAAATACTATTTAAAACTTTTTTTTTTTAAATGATGGGCACCAAACCTAGGCTAATAGAGAGAGTGTAGGGTTTCCAAGGCGCTTAGGTTATGTTTCGCCTCCATTTCTTCACACATTCTTTCATAAAATAATTTTGTATGCAAAATCAAAACTTTTCTTATTTTGTAGCTACACATTCTTTAAAAAAATACTGTTCTAAAATGCATTTTTGGTCTTAAAAAAAAATGGGGCTCAAATGTTAAAGAACAATGGTAATGAAGAGAAGTCACAAATAATATTGGAAAAAATAAAAAGTACAAGATCTTGGCAGATCTGCGTGTGGTGGGCGAGTCTATCGTTAAATTATAGGCTTGGCTCACTCTATAAAGGAGTCGAGCTGGCAAAGTAAGTTCATGTATGCATTAGGTCGTAATTGGTGAGTGATTTTTTTTTTTAAATGGTGAGTCGATTTAGTTCGTTCCACCAAGAGGTATGGTGGTGGAGCAAGTTGAATTCATACTTGTTGAAGTTGAATCGGAGATGGAGATCGGATAATTTGTAAGATTTTATTATTATGAGAAATGTGAGATGATGTCGATAATGAATCAATGATGTGATATTGAGAAGTCGAATCCCTATGAAATGGGTTGAGGGAATGGTTTTATTGTATTGACTTAGATAGAGGCACCAGTTGGAACGAGTTTGGGCATGTTGGGGTGGAGGAGTAGGAGCAGAAAGATTGATTGACGAAATGCAATAGCGAATAAAGGTTAAAGACCTTTAATTTTAATGAAACAATAAATCCACTTCCCTAAATGTTTTATTAAAAGCATATCATACATGAGTAACGAAGAAAATAGAGACTAATTAACATATCTTGCTTTCACAAAGGAAGGTTCAAATGAGGGTTACTTTACAGAGTTAAAAAGTAAGGGTGGACATTTTTCTCGGAACCGAATCGGAATGAAGCCAAATAGAACCGATCGGTTGAACTTCGATTCCTCTACTAAATGGGTCGATTTTGGAATCATACATTGAGAACCTACTGGTTTTGATCCGATTCTCAATACTACCTTGAGAACCAACAGGAATTTGGTTCTCTCGAATTTCTCTCTTTGCTTGCACTAAGATGCACTAGATTTTTGAACACTAAATCCAAAAATTATCTCACGATAAAATTCCATTTTCCATACGCTTCTTCTTTCCTTCAATGAGTAATCGAAATTCAATTTGAGTAATTTTATAAATATTGTATAAATTCATAATTTTAATGCAATACAATAGGGAAAATATATTTTTAGTTCAATATTTCATAAAAATTCAAATTTCTTTTTGTTTTTAAAAGTAACCAGCCATCCCTTGAGAATTACTAAAGATAATCGGGCTATTCTTTTATAGATTTTCTTAAAAATTAATTTTCGATCGAGATTTTACCATTTATGTTATATTTAATAGTTTATCATATTTTCTCTTTTATAAGTTGACCTTAAGTTTTGAAGTAGATTTTTGTTTGTTGTCTTGTTCAATTGATTTGTTGTATTGTTAGATTTCAAGAATGACAAATGTTTCCATACTCTACTTTTGTCTAATTTCAATTTGTCAAGTAATTTATACTTTATTTTAAAAAAAATTTAATGTAAAGAATATGATCAGACCAAATCGGAACCGTTTGTTTCAGTTCTAGTTCAATTTCTAAGATTTTCATTGGTACTCACTTCAGTTAGATTCCCTACATAATCGGATCAAACCAAACCACGCTCTCTCCTATTGAAAGCATAAGTCCTGAAAACACAGTTACCCTAGACGATATGATTTTTCGCCCATTAGTTGAATATGTTCTTATTTTATCATTAGTAGTGGTTTGACCTCTATTTGGATTTCTTAAAACAATCAAGCTACATGTAAATTAATCTTTACATTAAGTCCTAGTTTGATTCTTATTATTATTTTCAAAATACGTTTTTATCTCTCTTATTTTCAATCCCATATTTTTAATAAAATAATACTACAAGTAAACCCAAATTTTTTTCTTATTTTTTAATCATTCTCCATCAACCTACTATTTCAAAATGCATTTTTAACCAAAAAAATGGGGGCTCAAACTGGTCCTAAGTTTGACATTCTTTGACATAAAATATATCATAGCAATTGATTTTTACAACACCCTTTCATACCACTAACTAGATTTTTGACGAATAAGGATATATCAATTGGGTTAATTTCACAAATGGTCACTGAAATTACATGAAAATCACAAAANNNACATGAAAATCACAAAATGGTCACTAAAGTTCCAAACTTGCATGAATGGTCACTCATCTATCAGGCAGTTTCAGAAATGGTCACTGGGTTTAGTTTTAGGATTGTTTTGTTTTAATTCAAACCTAAAGCACCAACACACGATCACTTAAGAGACGGAGGACCTGAAGTGCAAAATTCAATTTTTTTGGTCCTGCACACGATCATCTTCTCCGTTTCACCTGTGGAACCGACGGCTTCAACGCAAAATTCGACCTCCATGCCGCCGGTTAAACCATCGAATTTTTGCATCATCAACACCTCATCATTCCGGCCAACAATCCTAGACCAACATCCAGCCCCAACCGACCAAAAATCAATTGAATCTCAGGTTCAAAAATCAGTCCTGCGTACTGGTTCTACCTCCAATTCCGGCCAACCCATCATCACCCATGCCAAAACTCCATTACAGGAAGGTAATACTCCCCAAGATGAACAGTTACATGGTCTTATACCGTTACGAAACAATTTAAGTCAGAATTCAAACCAAAAAAAATTTGACGGCGGTGAACAGCGGACTTTCTTCCCCATTTTCTGGCGCCTACGTCAACAATTACTGTTGCACACCACCACTACTACCTTCTACTCTTCATGGAGAACAAGATGCACATATGGGTTCTCATCAATTTCCCTTAAATCAGCTAATTGGTGTATATTTTCGGCCGGAATTGGAAGAAGAAAGATGAACGTGAATTTGAGGGATTTTAACACCCACTGTTGCACTTCAGGTCCTCCGTCTCTTAAGTGATCATGTGCTGGTGCTTTAGGTTTGAATTAAAACAAAACAATCCTAAAACTAACCCGTCACTGGTAAAGACTTTGGCGGACTATCAACTCACTGGTAAGTACGTTCAAACCTTGAAATCACTGGTAAAACACTAAAAGTACATTCTTCAGTGACCATTTGTGAAATTAACCCTTTATTTAACTCAGTTATATGATTTTGGTTTTGTTAGTTTCCTTTTACTTTTTACGTGGTATTGTGGTTCTTATGTGTTTTAAGAAACATGTTGACTAATTATTGAAAAAGAAATTGGAAAGTTTATTTTTGGATAGTTTTGGACTTATTGATTTTAAAATAAATATGATTTTGTCATGAATGCCAAATGAGGAGATTGTTAAGTCCAAATTACAATTGGCAATTCCTTAGTCAAAATCACGTCCTAATTGAATTGTATTAGGAGTTTATTAAGATATAATCAAAGTCAAAATAGGCCTTAAAGGAGTCCAATAAGATCACATATGATCATTGGAATGCAATTAGAAGTTTAAAGAGTGTCAAAGAGTCGTACAAGTTATGCTCCAAATTCTCAGTGGTAACTTGAAATGCATTTTTCACATAAAAAACATTTGAATTTAGACAAGGTTATTCTAGAAGTATTCTATCCCTTTGAGTTAACTTTCCAATTTATTTTGAATCAGCTCAATCGGATATCGGGAGATAAATTTATTATAAAAATATTGACGACTGCTAAGCTAGCGCTCGCCTATCGTTGACCTGGAGCTCGAGCGACTTGATTGTCTAAGGAATAGTAATATTCGATTTTCAAATTGATATTGAGTTCCTTTCCATCTCAAACACCACCCATTATAAATATACACCCTATAAGACGTCCAAAAGTGGGTTGAATTATATTTTTCCATAGAGTTCATTCCTTTGAAGATCCAAAACAAATTCATTGATTCAAAGATTCAACCACCATATTATTTGAACCATAAATTCATTCAAACTTCGATTTGTTGATCTAGTCATATTGTTTTACATTAAACTACAGATTAAAACATACAAGATTTTTTGATCAAACACCAAACCATCTAGTCTACCAAAAATAAATAGATACCAAGGATCAGGAGCATTTGTAGAAACACAAATTCAAGAGGACTAAGTTGAGGTATCAGGAGTTGGGATCTGGCGTCAGGAGCACGTAGTCTAGGATGGATAATGCATCAATTAGGAGTTGGGATTTATTTTAAAGGAGTACACTTCTAGTATGATCAAGAGAGACTATAGGAATTGAGTTTAGAAGTTCTACCGGATAAATGGATATAGACCGTACTGTAAGCTTGTTTCGATTTATAGTGGTTTACTGACTAGCAAAGTGTCAAAAATTTTTACCAAGTTGGGGTTTCTCCATGATTATTTTTTGTGTTCTTTGCTGCTTTAATTATTGATTGTGGTATTCAAACCATATGATAAATTGACGTGATTTATTAACTATCTAGAAACAATTAAAAAGTGTCATGTTGTTTTTAATTGTATAACTAGTCTTTCACCCGTGCGAT